ATAAATAATTTGGTTGTTAAAAATGTGTGAATTGATAAATAATGAATTTTGTGAAATTTGTCTGGTCATAATTGATTTTATTTATTAAACCGGTATTTGGGCCAAGAACAGTATTTGGAGATAATCATATCGGTTGAACCACAGGTATCTGGTACTTACCGGTAATAAACATACTGGTATTTAAAACACTGCTTTGGTTAACCGAATTTTGTTCAGTTAACCATAGTGTTTGCTAGCACCTTTGAGTTAGACTAGACTAGTGAAATAAATACAACACATCTTCGTTTTAGAAGTCACTTTCACTTAATCCTAACATTTGTACAAAGGAACCCTTTATCTAAGATAAAATACAGCAAAATAAACAATTAAAAAACACCGCCTAATTCAACACTTGAAGAAAAATTTAATCGATGTAGTCCAACTCCATGTCCTGAACTGCCACCTCATCATTCTCAGCTGCCACGTCTTCATCGCCATCGCTTTCCACATCCATACCCGCCAGAACCCGATCCAAAACCGTGTCCATACCCGTACTCGTACCCGACTCGCCCCATTCCAAACCCGCCTCGTCCGGGCCCTGAAACACGATCACAGTGACCCGAACTCCGCCGCTCTCGTACACGCCCTCGTCCAGCGGCAGGTCTTCCAGCGGCAGGCTGAACCGGCACATCGGGCACGAGCCACGGATCCCCAGCCACCGGTCGACGCAGCCGCCGTGGAACCGGTGGCCGCACGGCATCTCCTTGACCGCCGCGTTGACCTCGTATTCCACCAGGCAGATCGGGCACTCCAGGCCCGGCTCCGGCGCGGGGACCACCGGTAGGGCGTCGATCGAGGCCTTGGTCGCCGGCGACGGGACCGGCTTGACCGGTAGCTCTCGGAGGAGGCCCTCGACGTCGACGGCGCCCTCGACGAGGGTCACGGATCCGCTCGCCGGGTGGACCAGCACCGCGACCTCGCGCGGGGGGGTCGCGGCGGTGACCTGCCGGAGGTAGCGGTAGCTCAGCTCCTCCAGAGACGGCGGCGGCGAGTCCGGATTTGGTGAGGCCATCTTAATTTTTTAATTTTTTTTCGATTTTGAGGGTTTGATATAGCTTTGATTTTTAGGGTTTCTTAAGTTAATTTGGGGGAAAGTGTTTAATTAAAGGAAAATGAAAAGGTGGGTGAAGAGTAAGGAGGAGATATATGTAGTTGGGACTGTAAATTGGGACGGTGGTGAGGCGGTGGAAGACTTTAGAAACTTGTGCCTCGCTTTTTTTTTTTTTTTTTTT